TTTAATAATGAAAAATGACACAATTAAAATATATATCATCTTATATAGAAAGAACTAATTGTTTATATATATCTTTTTTTTTTTTAATCTAGTTTCTTATTGTGGAAATCTGGGTAGTACGTCCATTTCAATGTGGTCGTAGATCAAATAAAACTAATTTAAAACAACGACAAATTGATTATCTTAAAACAATTTTTCAAACTGCATTTCTTTTTGTACTTGGTATTGCTATTTGTTTTCTAATTACTGAAGTTGGTAAACGTAAGTGTGATCAACAAAAATTAATTTCTAAAAAAAAAACATAATATCGATTCTATATCAATTTAAATAGGTACAATTGGTCGATTAAGACCATATTATATAACTATTTGTAATCCTATTTGGGCTCAAATTCAATGTACAAAAACATTACAAACAGCAAGTGGTCCACTGGTTGTTTCACAGTAAATTTCTATGCTTTAAGGGAACGACTCGACAAAAAATTATAAAATTTTCAAGGCAGATAGATCTCGATAATTGGAGCAAAAATTTCCAGATGCTTCGTTTAGGGAAATATAAGAATCGCAATGGCCAGAATTTTTTTCTCCGAAAAACTCTATACTTCATTTTTTCGAGCTGCAATTTCTTTTTGACAACTAGAATTAAATTAGTGTGTGTCTTTCTTGCAAAAATATCATTCCGAGCGCTAATTTTACTCTCGGCTTGGAGATTCAAAAAATATTTAAATCTTGGAAAAGTGCGATTTTCGTTTTTGGTCAAAACACTGTGTGCAGGTCTCTCCTTATGCAAATCTATGTATATATTTATTTATTTATTAGATATATTACAAATCATCGTTGCGATTCAACTGCACCAGCAAGAGACATTCAAGAAGCAAAACTATCGTTTCCATCAGGTCATGCAAGTTATTCAACATATGCATTTGTCTTTTTATTTGTATGTATATAAATAAATTAAAACAAAAAACAAATTTTTTTTTTCATAGGTTTATTTTGAAGCACGTCTTGTTTGTCCAAATATTCAATTTCTTAAGCCATTTCTTCAATGTTTATGTATTGCAGTAGCATTTTTTACTTCATTATCACGTGTTACAGATTATAAACATCATGCAACAGATGTTATTGGTGGAGCAATAATTGGTTTTTGTATTGCAGTTTTTGCAGTATGTTTTAAATTAACGAAAAAAAAACAATTTTTTTTTAAAATCATTTTGTTTTTAGGCTGTACGTGTTGGTACATATTTATGGAGTTTTGGTGTTTATTGTGAAACAGTTGATGAAACAAAAAAAGAACGTTTACCAGAAGATGAACGTGTTCCTATACCTGGTATTGAAACAAAACAAAGTGGTGCATTACGTTCAAATGATCAAATACAATTAGAAAATACTCATGAGCAACGTCAACCACCTATAATACATTCTCGTAATAATACAAGATCACATTATGATAGTGGTATATCGGTAATAGAACAGAAAAATACTTTGAATTCGAAATTTCATGGAGGAGGAGGAGGACGACGTGTATCACCAAATGGAGTTTTTGAAGGACCAAATAATTAAGTTTTACAAAAATTCATTCATTATTCGTGACATTTTGGTCAGATAGAATAAGCAAAATACAAAAAAAAAGACATAAATATATAAAATCATTCATTTTGTTTATTTAAATACTGCTTTATGTAACTCAATTTCTTCAGAAAAAAAATTATATTCATATGCTTCAATACATTTTCATTAATTTATTTGTTGTTGTACTATGACATATTATAACTTACATATTTATATATCATTGTTTATCTAAGAAAAAAAGAAAGCTTTCAAAATACAATATTGCTCTTTAATACAAAAAATAAACTATGAATTTATGCTATTCATTATAAAACACAGAGATAAAGATGAATGATAAAAAATTACTTACAAGGGGACCACACCAACTGACATTCGCCGTTTGATGTCATATTGGACCCACAAGTAGGTATTAGTAAGACTTACGAAAGCATAAAAGAGTTCGTGTCTGTGAGCCTTTGACGCCGAGTCATGACTGTTTTTCTTAGGAGCGTAAAATTTTTGAATACTCGAACATTGACAAAGGATCAAGTTCCATTTCTTCGGAATATCTCACTAGAGAAATTTCTATAATGATTAAAAATTGCAATAGAGAATAAATGAATATCGTTAGCATCGTGGCTGTATCATAAATAATGAGCTAATTTTGTATTGTGAGTGACTACTATGAAGACAATGCTTGTAACACAGATACTCCGGAAAGTTTCTAGAACGCTCTTTATTACTTCCTTCCAAGAGATTACATACCAATTTTAATGAATTATGCTATGAAAAATAATTATAAAACAGGTGTAGCTTTTTTATGCTATGGTAATTAAAGGATTAAGAGAGTTCTTATGGACTGAGTATGTGTACTATCGTTTGGTGGTAGACCACTAGTACAGCCCAAGAAGAACGTTTATCAGATCAATGAAAAATAACAACTGATATATGAGCAAATGCGTGAGCTCTTGAGCAACAAGAATATATAATTGAAATTAATTTTCATTCACGCCATACTGAAAAAATGAAGACCACGAAATTTAGTAAATTTTCAATTTTTTTG